TGCTGGTTGCCATAATGAGGTATCTTACGGACAGACCCTAAGGGTAAACACATAAAACTCATTTATGTTTCATATACATTTTATATACACACCTGCAGGTAATTTTATACAATTTTTTTTGTATTACAGTGTTTTGACTGCAACTCATCTCATGAGTTCAGGTGTGCAGCGTCATGCTGAACTTCAGAAAGTTCCAGATTACTGCATTTGGATTACAGACATTTGGATTAGGTACACTGAACCTGTATATGCACATTCAATTGGTTACCTTCCTTCAGAGAACCCTGAATAATATACCGTGTCACAAATTATCTCAGAGCTTCTCTATTTAAAACGAACTTTTATCTCAAGGGTTCCTAAGGATTGTGAATTCTGAGGTAGCTTAACGGGGTGGCTCTAGCTCAGGGTGTCTCATTAGGTTTGCTGTCAGCTGGGCTGCAGACTTTGAAAACGTGACTTGCTCTGTAGTGATCACTACCCACGCTGGCTGTCAGCAGAAAGTTCCGGCACCTCCCCATATGGGCCTCTCCAAAGAGTTGCTTATAAAATTGCTTCTTCCAGAGTGAATGATCAAACGAAAAATCTGCACTTAAAAATAATAGCTCTGGCTTTTACTTAGATCTAGACACAAAAGGCAACAGAAAGTTACTGTTCTGATTGGAGAATTACCATAAATATGCAATTGGTCATTCAAGTCTCTGGGTAGTTAGAAGGTGACACTAATTAAAGAAGGGCTTAGTCTTTGAATTGGTCACAGTTCCATGAAAGTACTAAGTACATTGGACCAGCCATAGTATATAATGGTAAATGGCTGTGGTTCAGCAAGTTGAGGCCACATCTTGGAAGGCCTGAGTTCAATTCCCTGCCCACCTCTATAAAGCCAGGCATACACAGTAGTCTCAGCAATTCAGGAGGCTGAGGGTTGTAACATAGCAAGATCCTATTTTTTTTAAAAAAATAAGTAAATAATTAAACTAGCATGTAATTGAACTAGCTCTTCATCTGAATTTAATGATGGCAAAAACTCAGGCTCAGAGAAGCTAAGTTGATGGAACATTCATTAAAGCTCAACTACTTGATAAAGCCAATTACTTAGAGCCTGCAGGTGGCATGAAGGTTAAGGTGACTGTATCCCACAAGGCTGACTTCACAGTTTGAGCCCCAGACCCAGGGGCTTGAAAAGTCATTCTTGGCGTATGTACATGTGTTCTAAAAATCCTGAGAGGAGAACAAAAGAGAAGAGATTGCAGCATGGCCCCTCCCCTAAGGGGACATTTTTTCACTTTCTGCTTTTCTCTGTCTCTCTCCAGTGAGCACACATGCCCTACAACAATAAAGGCCAATTATTTGTTTATAAAGTCTTTCCACAAGAAGGTGCTGAGGCCTTCATAGGCCATAGCCCATTGCTCAATTTAATGTTAAAGTGATTTCAGTTGTCTCAATTCCAAACCTCACTCTGAACTTGAAAATAATTTTTTTTGAGAGATTTTTGCGATAGGGCGTGTGCGCTCGCCAGACAGACAGAGAGAGACAGAGAGACAGAAAGCGAGAAATCACCCCCCCCCCCCGGGGGGGATGGCCACGCCGCAATCTCTTCTCCTCCATTCTCCTCTCGGGATCTTGGGCACACACGCACACGCGCCCAGTGTGAGTTTTAAGCCACTGGGTCCGGGACTTTAACTGCGGTTGACTACATGGGAGTCCAGTGACATAGCCATCACGCTAACTGCTGGTTCCCAATAATTTTTTATCTCTTAAAGTTTGGACTTTCCCTCATTTACCTTGGGAGCAATAACAGTAACAACTGCATGGAGGTTCTTTTGGGAAATGAAAGAACCCACTACATCAGTGTGTATATACAGAGTAAAGATAGACCTTTAAGCTGCAAAATCTAAATTCTCAACTGGGTAATACTTAAGATAGCTTTATTCTAAGGGTTTGTAAAACTAGACATCTATGTTTCTTTCTGACTTAAGATTACTCTCCAGACACCAATGTATGTAGACTATACATTGAATCACAGAATCTTATAACGTGACTGTTCTTACACAATGCCCCCGAAATACTCATCCTGCCCACCCCCTATACCCATCTCGTTCTTTGGATACAGGAATCTACCTTCTGCTGGAAGCTGGCTTTGGAGCCCATCAATATAAAATGAAGATTGTGTGAAATGCATCTCAATGCACACAACTACCCTCTGTGCCAATGGAGAACCAAGGTCTAGGTGTTCCCAATCTGTCTACATTAGGCTGCAGGTTCCTTACAAGTAGACGCCAAACACCCCAAGCCCTCATCCTTCCGTATCTTTTCCCTAAACCATCCAAACAGGTATAATCATGCTCCCTTTCCTCTGATTTTTTATTAAGTACTTAGGATACCAAAGAGTACCTGCATTACCCTGGTTGCCACTGGCTGCTTCTCCCTCTGACTGGCACCCTGAGTTTCTCTCTCTAGCCCCCCCCCTTTTTTTGGAGAGGTTTTTGCTATAGGGCACATGCACTTGCCAGAAAGACAGAGAGAGACAGAGAGACAGAAAGCAAGAAATCACCCCCACAGAGGATGGCTACACTGTAATCCATTCTCCTCCATTCTCTCGAGATCTTAGGCACACACACACATGCACCCAGTGTGAGTTTAAGCTGCTGGGTCCAGGATGTGAACTGCGATAGACTATATGGAAGTCCAGTGACATAACCATTACGCTATCTGCTGGTACGAAACCCCCCCCCTTTTTTTTTAATTCCATGCACCATTGTTTTAGTCCATGTTTCTGTTGCTAATAACTGAATATCATACTGGGTAATTGAGAAAGAATAGAGGTTTATTTCACTCACAGGGTCAAGACACCACATCTAGTAAGAGTCTTCTTGTTGGGGAAGACTACATGCTGAGTCCTGAGGAGGCACAGGGCATTGTATGGCAAGAACTTGTCTCTGTGTCTCATTTTCTCTCCTTATAAACCTACCAGGGGCCCAACTGTGGTAGTGAAAGTGGTAAAACACTACTGCACCAACGTCAACTACATGGAAAGGCCCTGGGTTCTAATCTCAGGTCAACCTAAACACACTGGGCACACCCATGATCCTGCCTGGGTAGAAAGGGGATCATAGCATGGAGACACCCTGTCAGTTCTCTCTCTCTCTCTTTCTCTTTCTTTCTCTCTCTCTCTCTCCTGTCTCCTGTTCTCTCACTCTCTCCTCCTCCCATGAAGGAAATAAAATAATTTTTTAAAAATAATATTCAATCATAGAGACCCACTCTGATGACTTTATCTAATCCTTATCACTTCCCAAAGGCTCTTCCTCTTAAACCCATAGTTAGATGAAGTTTCCACTCTGTTGGCCCAGCCATGGAGATGCAGGCAGTAGGGACACTGTTGTCTGATGCTGGAAGCCATATGGGAAGGCTCTGACTTTGCTTCTTGATTCCACCTGAGCACCCTGGGCACTCCCATAATCCTGCTGGCTGCAGAGCTTGTGGGAGGATCCTGGCATAAAGACCTTATCTTCATGGGTTCCTTCAAGGGTGCCCCTCTTCCTCTAGCTCTCTCAATAAATAAATGAACTTTTAAAAAGTTTGCACTCTCTTAATACCATAAAATTACAACACATGAATCTCATGGGGACATATTCAAACCATATTAATGGTCAACCTTCTCTGCCTTCATTGCCTAAAGCATGGCTGATATTGGGCTATAATATGTAGCCAACTTTCCTGAGGATAGCATAAGAAAATTATTACATTGGAAAGAAAAATTTCAAATTAGATAGTTCATATCCCTGCTCCTTAAAGCTGTCTGCCTGGGTCCTTCCACATGGAGTTTTCTGCTGGCCACTCCCCCTGTAATGCCTAGCTTAAAGCCTAGTACCACCTGTTCAAGCCAGGGGGCTCCCACTGACCCAGCCCTTGGCTCTGTCTCCAGAATGCCACCATTTGTCCATAGGCTCCAGCCAAAGGGAGCAAAACTGGGACCAGACAGTAGTGCAGTGGAAAAGTGCATTGCTCTATGAGCTAACTCACATGGGAAAGTTCCAGGTTTGCATTCAGAGATGTCCCTTCTCTGTCTCTGGTGAGTGCACATGCCCTGTGGTGAAGAGGAAAACAGGAATGTCCCTTAAATATTACACATGGTCCATACACATTACACCAGGCAAGTGTGTGTGCGTGCCCAAGATCCTGAGAGGAGAAGGGAGGAGAAAGGATTGTGGTGTGGCCATCCTCCCTGAAGGGTGATTTCTCACTTTTTATCTCTCTGTCTCTGTCTTTCTGGTGAGCGCACACTCCCTATAGCAAAAACCTCTACAAAAAATATAAATAATAAATAAATTTTATTTATGTGTATATGGAGGTTTTTCTTACAATTTTCCCTTGTAGCTATGCTTATTTTCTTTGAATGATTTTTTTTTAATCAATGGAATACCTAGTTTAAAGAATAAGAGTATTTTTGTAATATTGACAGACGGCATGTATGCATAACAAACAATGCTAGCTTTACTGTAAGAGCCCTTTTCTGATTCCTGTGAAGAATCACATGTACTTTGTTACTGGACTTCGTAGCCTCATTTCACTCTTCGTCTACAGCAGAGTTAAACAATGCATTACAGAGGAAGTGGAAGTCAATGGAGTCTGGAGATGTTGAAATGGTGGAAATTCTAGAGTTAGGACACAGCGAAAGGGAGAGGGTTTGAGAGGAGTGGAGGGTATAAAGGCAATCACTCATGGACGAATCCTCCTCCACTTCATTCCTGAGCTAAACTCCTGTTTAGAACGACATGCAGCTCAAGGTACTGTGCGATCTCTGTGGCCTGCTTCAGTTGCTCTTCTGTAGCTCACTTCTTCCTTTCTCAGTTTCCTTAGCTGCTCTTTCTTTTTAAGAACTCCCTGCTTCTGCTTCAAAGATGGCTTTTTAAAAACCCACTTTATTGCCTCTGGGCTAGCTAATTAACTGCATATTGGTTTTCATCTGTGTTTTATAAAGAAGAGCCATGATTCTTTTGTATAAACTTGGGATGTAAATGAATCATTCTAAGTCCATTGAATTTTAACCTCCTGGTTTTATATGTGTCCATTATGTGACTGCATTTCTAGTGACCTGTTTACTGCTTCTGTCCCCTGGAGAAGATAAGTCTTCTGAGGCAGACACCATAACCTATTAATTTGGCATTCTAGAGATCTTGGCACAGTGCCAGACACATTACAAGAATCTGTGAAACTTATTTATTAAATTGACTGCACGCATTGCTTTAAGTTATACATTAATCACTGGATTTAACTAAAAGGAGATGTAAATGCCATGAGAAAGCCAAGCAGACCAGAAAGATATTTTAGAAATGGATGGGTGCGATTGCACAGACAGCTAAGCAGCTGTGTCTTATTTGTCTCATCTTCCTTTTCTGCAAGGTCCACAGAGAGCCACATAGTCCTTAGCACAGAGTGGTGTTCAGGACTTGTCAGGGAATCCCATAGCTCCCCGCTGTCACAAGTCACCTTCAACAGGGTTCCATGTGCACGGATGCCACCATATCCTGGGTTCTATGTTGGCGCTCTACCCTCCACCTGCTCCCTAGACATACATACTTCCCCATAAGACTCCCCAGATCAGCTCAAACCCTGAAGATGAACCGTCAATGAAGGCCCTCAGCTATGGGCATTGTGGGAGTTAGAGCAGAGGTAAGATAGCGTAGTTTGCTTAGAACCAGGGCTCTTGACTTTCTATGTTTTACTTGGTGAATCATTGAGCCATTTCCCCCTTCCTCCCTCCCTCACTCTT